AAAAAACTATATTTTAATGACTCATTAAATTACAAGGATTATATAAAAAGATTATGTAATAAACCATTACATGAATATGAATAATTATACAGAAAATACAGTTATGAACCCTACTAGACAATACGAACCCTTTAGGTCACTTTCATGATTATAAGGTAGAATGACAACTTCATTTTAAGAACATATGAAATGATTTTTGTTTTATCCTTTTGTTTTCTCTTAGATTATTTTGTTTGTATGGTTATCATCAATAAGATGGACCACAAGTTAAAGATTCATCACATACATAAATTGAACCGAATTACGTTTGGTTCCTTCTTAAACATAACTATTTCAAAACCCATGATATCCTCGTAGCAATTAAATATAATAAAATATCCGACGATATGTTTTATAAGATTTAATGGAATGTAATGTAATGATCCATTATATATTTATATATTTTTTTTTGGGTAATTTAGAAAATTATAATGTAATAAGAGATTATAATTTAACAATTCATTATATTACAAGGATTGTATAAAAAAGCGATGCAGTAAACCGTTACAAGTAATAATGCAAGATCTAATTACAATAGGTATCATAAAGACTAAATTTTAATTACAAAAGGACCAAAAAGATTTAAAATAATTTTATTTGAAAACTAGGGACTAAAAGGAATTTTGTCAAGAATACAATTGCAAGCAAACAAAGTCATGTATTGAATCATTTCGTTTTGTTTATTATAAATTTCTCTGACAAAGCGTGTAGATTTCTACTAATATCATAAACGGAGCATCCCGCAAACTAAAATAAATAGCAAGTATATATTTAAGATTTAGTCATGACTATCCCATTCAAGGTAAAATGTTAGTGTTATTTTTTTAAAAAAAAAATTCAAAATAGAAAAAAATAAAATAAAAACAGGTAACATGGAAAAAGCAGGCCGGGAATAAAACTGTAATTTTAGAGGAAATTTTAAGACATAATTGTACCCTGTTATGCCTCAAAATAGAGATAAAATGCAAATTAAAGGTTAAATTAAATGATTATCAGATGAATTTATATAAAAATTAAGTCCAAGGACATAATTAAATTTTTAATAGGCGAATTTGATTTAATCATGGGCCAAATTAAATTTTAATTATGTTTAAGAATTAATTTGGGTCCAATTGAAAAATATAATTAAGTATAAGGACTTAATTATACTTTAAAAGGGTCAAATTAATTTTACTTGGGGCTTAATTAGTGAAAAATTAAGTTTGGAAGCCTAATTTAGGCTTAATTGAGAATATTGGAATTTTAAGAAATAAAATTTAATTTTTACCAAGTTAAATGATTGAAATCAAAGGCATAATTGCAAGAGAATTGAAGTTTTGAGGTCAATTAGGGGTTAAATTGATAAAATTCACAGCCAATGACTAATCTTCAAAAAGTGTTGGACTATAGGGGCTTAATTGACAAAAACCAGGGATTCAATTGAAGAAATTCAAAGTTTAATGATCAATTAGGGGCATAAATTATGTAAATTCAAGACCAAGGATCAAAGTGCAAAAGAAGTGTAAATATAGGGTTGAAGTTGAAGTTCTACAGGGGTTTAATTGCATTAAATAAAAACTTTAGGGTCAATTAGGGGTTCAATTGAAACAAATTGAAGCTAGAGAGGACCACACGCAGCGTCGTCTGGTCACCGTTCATTGTCTTCCCTGATTTTGTTGAAGAATACTGCTGACAAGACGAAAAGATTAATGTCTTCTCCCAAGTGCAGGAGTGTCGAAGTAATAAATAATCCGGCAAGACCGGGGTCGAACCACGGAGAGGTTAATTGTACAAATTATAAACAACAATTATAAACAACAACAATAGTAACAATAACAACAACAATAATAATAACAATAAC